CCCTCTGCTGTGGTTATCACAGCTTTTCATCCAGAGTTGGGCATTAGACAGTTTCTCCCTGTGTTAGGAGCCCAGTTTGTAGTACTCAGCACACTACCACCTCATCAGGATTTGTGAATTCAAAAGTAGTGAGTAAATCTAACCCCAGTGTTTTAATACTCCAAATTGTTTTCATTTTCAGATGTCCTCAAGGAACTTGTCCTTTTGAGTCCCCATGATTTTCTTCATACTCTGGTTCCCTTCCTACAACACAACCATTGTACTTACCATCACAGTAATATACCAAGTACGTATTTCTCTAACATAATATTTGAATATGGTTGGCATGTAATCATTCTGCACACTGAAGCTTGGAGACTTATTTTTTTCCATTTATTCTTATTGTACACTTTTAATGTCTTAGTGTCTCTTGGACCTTATTTCCCTTGTCGAGAAAATATCAAGCTAATAGGAGGGAAAAGCAATATTCGGCCTCCGCGCCCTGAACTCAATATGTGCCTCTTGCCCACAATGGTGGAAACCAGTAAGGTATGTTGGGATGCCAGGAAAACCGTATTTCTATAGCACAAGGTAATCTGAGATTTCCCCCTGGCTGTTGAGTCTGTTAGATTTATGTGAACGTTTCATGAATCCTAAAATTAGATTCATTTGGATTTTTTCCTTTAAGTGCTCTGAAATGTTGATATTTGCAAAATCAACAGTAAGCACAAGTTGTTAAGATTTTTTTTTCTTCTTCTAAAAAAATAGCTTAATAGTAAACCTTAGTTTGTTACTAGGCTAAATTATAGTTGTATCCTGCTTCTAAATCTACAGAGTCAAATTAGGTACTTGGAATGTTTTTAATTTGGCCATATAATCAAGACCTCTTTTACTGTCCCTATAACCATATTCTCCTTAACCTACCCATAATGTCACTGTTTGATAGATTGATCATCTGGTTCCTGTTCTCTAATGCTTATTCTAAAATAGTGTCAATCCTAAATTATAGAAACAAGCTATATTAACACAAGATATGTTAGTTTTAACACTTTTTAAAAACATTTTTCCCCTTAGCTTTCTTCACCCACACCTTCATCCACACTCTCTCTTGCCTACTGGTTTTGGATCTTAAGTATATTTGAGCAATTCTCCATTATAAAATATTAAAAATAATTAACATTATAGTTACCCTTACAGAAATATCCTCAAATCTTTCAAAAATCAAATATAACTCATTCTTCTTGATGATATGTTTATAGAGCTAAAGTGTGACATGCTAAAATCTCAGTACTTTTACTCTATTAAAGTATATAGAAATGATGGGTAATTATAATTGATAGCATTTGCACACTGACAATAAACCTACGACAATTATGATCTTAATAACACTAGAAATTTGGAATTTAAAACTAGATTCTTATAGAAGTTAAAGATTTAATTAGCTTTTTACTTAATCTTATTACATTTGCACAAAATATGCTCTTTATTATACAATTTAAGTGCAACCATTTTATCATCTTTAACCTTCAGGGCAAAGATGACGTTTATGATCGTATGCTGCTAGACTACTTCTTTTCTTATCATCAGTTCATCCATCTATTATGCCGAGTTGCAATCAACTGTGAAAAATTTACTGAAACATTAGTTAAGCTGAGTAAGTATAAAAGATGAGCAGTAAATTCCACTGAATTATTTTAAGCCCCTAGCCATTCAGGAAGGGGAAAAAAATATATGACAATCCCTTTATTTTTTTTTCTTTTTTAAAGTGAATGTTTAAAAATATTAATTAGTATTCTCGGGAATATTTTAATTTTTATTAAGAAAACACCAACTTACTGGTTTCCATTGAATAGTTCTGCCCAGAGTTTCAGCTGGCCTATTAAGGAGCATGGAGCAGGGCTAATCGTCACTTTGTACACAGAAGTCCAAGTCTACCATCTTCACAGCAGAATTAAAAACCAAACTGCCTTGCTTAGGGAGAGCAGTTAGAAACAGACTTCCCTGGCCCTGTCTTGAGGGTGAGTTGAAATCCTTAGTGCCAGCTGTGCTTTGGAGCTGGTGGTGCCAGAAGAGCTGAGTGGGCTTGGCAGCGTGAAGCAGAGGTGCATATATGAGTAACTAGGAGGTAAGTCTCATAAACTGAGAAGACACATTTGAAAGGAACAACACGAGCAACAGAAAACAAATCCTTCAGTGAGTTATGTAGGGGGAGAAAAACTTCAAAGACTGTCTAATCCCTCTCTCCAAGGTCAGGACCTAGAAGTTCTAGGCTCTGTATGACCTACCTGCCTTCTGATTTTATCAGAGATGGGCCAGCATCCTCTCTGGTCTCTATAGTTTCATTTTAGAGTGTGGGGAGTAATCCTTATGAAACCACCACTTAGATCAAGAAATAGACTATTACCATGCCCCAGAAGTCCTCTTTGTGTTCCATCTCAGCCACAATCCCCTTTCCTGTGGGAAAGATTTTGGCCCATTCCAGGTAGGGCAATAGGTATGACCCAACCCTAGATTTCATTATCAAGGAAGAGAGAAGTGGTTACAGCTGTCAGGGGTAACTTCTCTTCAGAAAATCATCTCATTGGTGAGTGATTAGAGCACCTTCAGATTTGAAGGGCTGTTCCTTCGCTTACCTGATCGTACCTACGTATCTATGGCTGATGCCAAGATGTGGGGAGGTAAGACTTTGGGCAGATCGTCTGCTTCAGAATTATGCATCTGGGTTGTGGCACTTGGTAAAAGTCTGAAACTAGCAATAACAACGGCCAGGTGTAAAAGAATACTCGGGAGTTCTGATAGTATAGCCTTTGTGCTCAAAATAAGAGGTGTTTCCAAAGATGCTGACCTTTGGAGAACTTCCAGGTAATTATGTTTATATAATTTATAATAAAGTATGTGAAGAGCTGTTCTTGATACTTGGACAACTTTGACCAAGTAATAAATGTTCTACTGTTATTTTGAGTATCTCGTTTATCGACACAAATATGTACTTTCATGGAAATTAAGAATGGAGAAGGGTAGCTGGATGTCATAGCTCATGTCTGAATCACCACACCTGTAATCTCAGCACTCAGGAGGCTGTGGCAGGAAGATGGCCAGACATTAAGGTCTGCCTGGCCCACAGAGTGAAACTGTCCACAAAAACAAGCCTAAGTGAAAGGGAGAGAAGGACACACTGACTCACATGCCAGATCGACATCGCTCATGATCATGAAGCACGGTGGACTCTGCCTGACTTAGTTTTTCTATCTACACAGTCTTATGGAGTGTTCTGTAGTGATGCGTGTATTCTCAGCTTGCTGTTATCTACAGTGTGGTAGTTAACTAGCCATGTTGGAAGGGTTAAAAATTCAAAACGTGAGAAAAGGAACTATTTTATGTAATTCCAGCCAGACTAAATTTTAAATAGCCAAATGCTGGTTTTTCAGGACAAAACTAGATACAAACCCAAACAACAAAGCAAGAAATTGAAAGCTTATTGGTCCATTCCTGGCTAATGTGGAAAACTGGATATCCTTTTAGTGATTTAGACAGACTTAAAAAGCAATAGTATATGGAAAAATCATGTCCTAGAGTTTGACATTAATTTTCTAGCTGAGACAACTATTTCCAAAGAAAGGCACCTAAGAAAGAGCTCTAGAGAACCAAACTCACATTAATGACAGCAGTAGTGAAGAGAGTTGGTAATTTTGATTTGTATGACTAAGGAAAAAATGGAAAGGGGTAAGTTTAAACTGAGCTTTTGAAGTTAGACAGTGTAAAGATCAGAATATTAAAATATTATTACCAAACATAAAGATTTGTCTTAAAACCTATGTTGGGTTGCGAGTGATTGATTGCCAGTTTTGAAGAAAACTCTTTGTTGTTTTTATATGGGCAACTGAACAAAACATGCTTGCTCATGCCTGTGAGCCCAGCACTCTTGCTAAGGAAGAAAATTGGGTGTTCCCTGCCACCATGGTTACATAGACACCCATCAACAAAAAACAAAAGTATCACTTGATTCCCTGTAGACCACCACAGTTTCATTCAACTCTTTGTCCTTTTACCTTCATTCTGTAAATATATTTTCTGTTCTTTCACAAAAGTAAACTAGACTGATTCAAACAGTGGGAAAAAAGACCACCAAACACACATATTTAGTAGATACTAAAGATAATTTCCAGTTAATAGAGTAGAGGTGGTATTAGCAGCATGGTGGCCCATACACTTGGGAGGTAAGGCAAAAAGATCAAGAACTCAAGATAGCTGTTGACTACATAGCAAGTTTGATGCCAGCCTGGGCTGCCTGAGACCCTGCCCTCACTCCACAGAGGAGTAAGGCGGAGATGAAGAGAAAAGGACCTTTAGCAGCCTCCTCAGAAGCACACGCACTTGCACCAACCACACATGCATGCAAACACACAAACAGAAACCACCGACCATGTTTAGCAGGGCATAAAAACCAGAAACAATAAACCTAAGACATTTTTGGTTACATGGAATTGAAATTATTAATAGTAGTTGTGAAAATGTCATAAATTAAAATACAAACTAGCAGCCTAGAATGGTGGCATATGCTTTTAATCCCAGCAGATCTCTATGAGTTCAAGGCTAGCCAGAGCTACATGGTAAGGCAATGTCTCAAAAAATAGATCAACCCAAAAAAAAAAAAAAATCACAAAGTAGCTACTGGGAAAGTGTTGCCAGACTTAATAGAAAATTGCCTACCAAAACACAAAATGGTTTTAGGCTTTAGTAAAATGAAAACTAAGCAAAATCAGGACATGAATAGTTATTTCATACCACACACACATAACACACACAAAGTGTTTGTCAACCATATGAGAATTTGCCCACACTCATTAATGAAAAAGCAAGCAATCATTTATCCTGGGGTGGGGAGGGTGGACATGTTTGGGCCATTCCCAATTTTCAGAGACTAAGAAAAGAAGAGCTAATGAATGGAGTGTTACCAGTTGGGGGAGGCAAATTTGGCATTGTTGTATAAAACTTAACATATTCTTCCCTTTGGCCTGAACATAGCAGAACAGAAATTTATTCTGTTTGTAACAATGTAGGACAACATACAGAGGCTGTTTATTTTCACTTCATTCACAGTGTGGGGAATTGAAAACAAAAATGTCCATCAATAAGAGCATAGTTTAGTAAGACATTTCATTTGTATTATATAGTCTTCAAAACAAACTAGATAACGTTCCTTGAGTTATATGGAAAACAGACTTGAAAGGTATGTAGTTCAGTGATCCAGCAGTAAACCCAGGTATTGGGTTCAATCCCTAGCACTCAGGGTGAACAAGTAATACAGAGATTAAAACCACATTCTTACAAAGGAGTGGAATATCACCCTTAGTAACAGGCATAAGGCCAAGAGTGGTTGTGCACACCTTTAATCCCAGCACTTGAGAAACAGAGACTCTTGAGTTCAAAGCCCGCCTGGTTTACATAGTGAGTTCTAGGACAGCCAGGGCTACACAGAGAGATCCTGTCTAAAAACAAACAAAAACAAGTGAATAATACTGTCATTACATAAGGATGAAATTATGGGGTACTTTTGCTTTCTAAGTTAAATACATTTGTAAGGGTGAAATTATAATGATCATGCAATGTTTTTGTTTTATTTGTTGACATATGGTATCTCTATGTAGCCCTGACTCCTTACACTATAGACCACACTGGCCTCTAACTCAGAGATCTGCTTTCCATTGCTTTCTTAGTGCAGGTATTAAAGGTATTCTTGACCTTGCCCAGCTTATGATTAGAATTTTTTTAAGTAGCATAGAAAATGGTATTGGCAAACTATAATTAATCACTTTATGTCCCAAAGTTTATGAACAAAATAAATAATAGGATGTTTGGATAAAAGTTAAATGTTAAATTTCATCATCATTTAAATTTTCATTTTCAGTGACAAAACAAGGGTCTTGTACCTTTAGCATTTAACATTATGAAATTTTTCTGAATGTGTTAAAGAAAAAAGTTCTTTTCAAGTAACATGTACTTAGAAAACAAAACAACACTGTAGCCTGGCTGTCCAATTCAGTGTAGACGGGCTGGCATCTCACAGAGATCCACTTGTTGCTGCTTCAGTAGTGCTGGAATTACAGGGCATGCCTCAACACTTAGCTAAAACTGGTTAAAGGCCAGGCATGTTGCTACATATTTATTAAAGATTGATTTATTGTGTGAGTGTGAATGTTTGCCTACACATGTCTGTGCACCAGTGTGTTTCTGGTACCTGGGGGAGCCAGAAGGCAGAGCCCTGGGACTAGAGTTACAGGTGCTTGAGCCACCATACTCATACTGGTCCTCTGTAAGAGCAGTACATGCTCTGAACTGCCAGGCCATCTCTCTAGCCCCTAAAACTGCTTTCTTTCATTGGCTAAATTAAACATATACAAATTCATGGTATTCATACAGAAAGCACACTCTGATTCCTGCTTCTTTTTAGGGAGATTTGAAAATGTCTGTTTTCCCTTCAAAGAGTGAATATATTTCAGACCACCCCTGACATCTGATGCAGATCCAAAGCTAGCTTTACCAGTCCACCAGGAGCAGATCCATACATGCTACACATAGTGATCACATGTGAAACAAATGTAAATCTTAAACTGCTTGCCAGTTTGTTCATCTCCAGAAGAATGGAAATGGGTGTCCAAATATTCCAGAGTCAGGCCATCACATTCTCCATAACCTACAAGGAAAGTTAGAGTAGGTTATGTAGTGGGTATGCAGTTAGAAGAGGAATTCGATCAGATACTGGTATTCATAGCCTAAGGCATCTTGATTGTTTCATGGTAAAGTATTACTCATAGGCCTTTATCCACCAGCTGATGCCATTGCTTCCCTAAGATAATGATGGGTGGGATTAACACTACTATAAGAAACCAGTCAGAATTGTAACAACTCAGAAGAAACTGTGACTAGTAATATACATATGAAATATTTTATCCTCATAGCAATCATGGAAGTACCAAAAATTCTGCGATACCATTTCACTACATAAGCACCTCGAAAGGTGTTTCTTTTCCTGACAGACCACACAACAGCTTTTACAGCCTGCAGTGTTCTGACAAAGAAAGGGTACACTTAGAGACGCTGTTGAGTGAGGAGTGGGGCAGAGTGTGGACCTCGCTTAAGGGTGACTGAAGTCACAGGATAGAGAAAGACAAGTTCTGCAGACTCCAGCGTATTTTAGATGTGCCATTCTGTTTACTAAGGGAAAGCTTGGAAGTGTACCTGAGCCTGAAGAAAGTGTTCCAGCAGTTAAAGAGTGCCTACTGATTTTGCAGAGTTCCCATAACCTACTAGATTGGCTAGCTCACAACTAACTCCTGCTCCAGGACATCTCATGCTCACTCTATACTCTGGACAAATGCACACAGACACACACAAACAATGTAAAAGATAAAGACGTGTACCTGAGAGTTTTTCCATGTGAATGAGATAGGTACTAAAAAGGAGTATGTAGAATTCAGAGAATATTGGCCTCTTGCTCTTCCCCAGTGCTTTGTGAAAATGCAAGAAAGTTCAGAAATCCTGGTGCCTTGAAGGAACAACCTTCTATCCAGAGGAAACAGCTTGAGGGAATTGGAAAGACTGGAAGGTGACTTCAGTTCCCCCTGGTTGGCATAGGTTGTTTAGAGTTTACTATATGAGCTTAGGAAACTCATTCTCAGATTGGTAATTATCTATGTTTTCGTTGCTGTATTACATAGTACATCAAACTAATTTCCTTAATGCTGCACTATCTAAAGTAAAGCTAACGTGCTACTTACTACCCTTAGTGAATCTAAAAAAAGGTAATAAAACTCGGAAGTAGTTCAGTAGAAGAGCATCCCACTTAGTATGCTAAAGGCCCTGGGCTTGAACCCCTGTACAAAGTGTGGCAGGGGAGGTATTATGTTACGTAAACAGTGGTACAGATAAATGTGAAGATCATAAAATGATACCAGAGGGTTTGAGTAAATGTAGATTATTGAAAAGATTATAGGTGTTAGAATTAGATAAATGTGGGATAGATGTAACTAACAGGCTTTGAGATGAATTAGGAAACTATTACAAACTCTAATCCTAGCACTTAGGAATTGGAGGCAAGGGCATCAGGAAGTCAAGGCCAACTTTGGTTGCTTGAGAACCTGTCTCAGGAAAAAAGAGCAAAAATCATTCCTTCCCCCCCCCAAAAAAAAATAAATAAAATGAAATAAATAAGGATTAAAGTAATATTTTTCAAAGCTGTGAAATTTTAATGTGCTTATCTGACATATCTAATACAGTAGGTGCCAATAAATGTTCCTTTCCTTCTTGTTTTTAAAGGTGATTTTTATAGCATAAGGGATGTCTGCAGGGTTGGTTGGTTGTAGTGATTAATGCTGACTTTTTGTAGCTGTTGAAAAGTAAGAAGAAGAATTGTTTTACTTTGAGAAACAATTTTTGAAGAAAGAAACAGTTAATAAAACTTGAGTGGTAATACAGACTTGCCATGAGAGTTGATAACAAGCGGCAGTCTGGAGAGCTAGCCGGACATTAGTGACAGGCTCTGCACCTAGACTGGTGTTCTAGGTCCCCAGTCCTTAAACATGTCAGAGCTTCCAGGTCTAGGAGCTGTACCCCTGTAATCCCACACTTCTGAGTCAGAGACGAGAGGACTGTGGGTTCCAAGACCAGCTCAGGCTATGTGTCAGTTAAATCAAAGGTAAAAGCCATTCCTGACTCACCCAACCCTGACACAGGTGGGTCAGACGTGGCCCGAGGGTCACATTTTGCCAACCCTTCTTTTATGACCAGTTATAGTGAAAGAGGAAGTAACTATAGAAACCATTCCCTGCAGCCACACTCTGGTGGCTTGTCTGTGTGTATGTGCTATGATTGATAAATGCTCCCAGCGTCATCCAGATTAGCTTAGAACAAAGGAAGGACAAGAACTGGCTTGTCGTTACAGGGGACTAAAAGGCTTAATTCTGAAAGAGAGCCTTACGTGTGTGATTTGCTGTTTAAAGGTCTCAAAGCCTTGGTCTAACCCAAGAAGTGGCAAACTACAACCTACCTACTAGTGGCTCTTAAAAAGCCAGCAGCTACTTAGTATATAAATATTTATACACTAAGAAAATTAGAATAGAATGTTTTAGGACACATGAAAATTGTGATTTAAATTTTCGTACTTGTTAAGTTTTACTTGTAGCCAGCAAACCTTAGTCGTTTGCTCCTGTCCCTGCCACTCTGGCATCGCCTTCACAGCCTTGAGTAGCTGCAGTGGGCGTCGGATGGCCATAGGCCTACACTTAGTGTCTGCTCGCTACAGAAAATCTTGTCATCTCCCAACCCAGCCCATACTTTTTGTTTAACTGGAAGATAGCTTATATTCTATTTCTCCTCTGTGGTTATATTTTTCCTGAAGGTGGAGACGCAGAAGTAGTACATTTATGGAGGGGGCTGACATTGCAGCTTCTGTGGGAGAGGCAGAGAGGTTGAAGGGAGGAGGAACACAGGAAAATGTATTCGACACCTACAAGAGGTTAAAGTTAGGGGTTTCAGGACTTGGGCTGTAGCTCAGTGGTAAAGTGCTTACCTAGCTTACTGAGCCCCTGGTTTCAAACCCCAGGAAAACACATACGAATGCAAGCACGTGCATACAGAGTCCTAACAGTCCCAAATCTGATCTACGCAGAAGATCCTGAGGACAAGGCAAGGAGACAGTAGTGGACTCAGCAGTGTTTACTTCAGTACACACAGAGAGAACAAAAGGGGAAGAAACGGAATGCTCTAGAACCTAGTTCTCCTCACCTTCTCTCCCACTCTTCTGAAATGTAGCAAGCCTGGGAAATTTTCCAATGTACAGAGTATTTCCTTAATCCAAGAAAACTTTGAAAACCCCTCACAGTGGCTTTAATCTTCCTAGATAAGTCCCAGTACTCAAAAATAAGAGCTGGCTGAAATTATTGTCTTAGATCCTTCTGGGGATGAGGTATAGGGTGTAGAAATAAATTCACTATTCCACATTCTCAATTTCTGCACTGCTTAAAACATTGTAATGAGTTCTCTTGTAATGATGCAGTCAAAACCAGAGATAGCTAACAGTACTGTACCTTCAGTTCACTCACTCAGCAGTAGAACTTACAATTATAACCTATTCTGATTTTCTTTTTCAAATATTAGGTGTCCTGGTTGCCTATGAAGGCTTGCCACTTCATCTTGCACTGTTCCCCAAACTTTGGACTGAGCTATGTCAGACTCAGGTAAAGCAAATGATTTTTACATGATTGCTCTCCGATCTCATCCAACCAAATAGCCGGGAAGTTTTAGGTTTAAAACTGTTTGGCTATAAATTGGGAATGTTGTATAGAATTAAGGGAAGTACTGCCTTCTGGAATTTTATTCCAACTCAAGCACTGTACAGGGAAAATCCAAATAAGCTGTTTATGTTGGATATTTCATCCATAGCTCAGTAGCAGCAGTTTCTGGGAAAGTCTGAAACAGAGCTACTAGGGAAAGCAAGCTCATACCCTCCTAGCTCCCACCGCTCAACTGTCTCTTCCTTGTGACTAACATCTCTAGCAGAAACCACGTTGCTTGGCCTTTAGCTCTGCCTGGTTGTGGTTTTTCAGGGATCTCATGCTCATGTTTTCTACCATCAGTCTTACTGAGAACAGGACAGTTTTAGCTCAAACCAAATAGAACAGGAAAGGCTACGTCACCCACTCCATGTTTCAGAGAGTCACCTCCAGCCAGGCATGGTGATGCATGCCTGTAACTGCATCCCCAGCATATGTTGGAGCAGGAGGATAGCCACAAATTCAAGGCCAACCTGGGCTACATAACAGGACCCTGCCTCAAAAAAAAAAAAAAAAAAAAAAAAAATCTTTAAAGCCAGCACATCAACACATAAGTAATGCTTGTTAGATGTTGAATTTGTGAGGAAGGAAGCCAGATTAATCTAATCTAAGGTTTTTCTCAGCCTTTGGATATGGCCTAAAGGATCCCCACAAACCAACGATTTGAGTTTCCTTCTGGTTGCATCTGCACATGTTCACCATGCTGTACCATAATAATGGTTATTTCTTGCCCCAAACATCATCTGTTCCTTGAGGAATGTTAGTTTTCTGCAGTAGTACTTACTACTGAGTAAAAGCTTCTCAACTATTACTACAAAGAACTTTGGACTCTTTGAAAGACATTGATCCCACTTAGCTAATGTGATTGGCATTCAGAAAATGACTTATTGATTTACTTTACTTTTGAGACAGGGTCTCCCTTTGTAGCCCTGGCTGTGCTGGAACTCCCTGTATAGACCAGGCTGTCCTTGAATACAGAGATTGTTCAGCCTCTGCCTCAGGAGTGCTGGGATCAAAGGTGTGTGCCACCTTGAACTGAGTAGTGTCTTCAATAAGTCGGAGCAGATTTCTGCTTTCCCCTCTCTGCCACTGCTATTGCTCTTTTCGTAGATAACAGCATGAAAGGTACAAATTTTTATTTAAATTTTTATGTGTATGGGTGTTTTGTCTGCATACCGTGTGCATGCAGTCCCCTCAGAGACCAGAAGGCTTAATTGGATCCCCTGAGACTGGAGCATTACAGATGATTGTGGGCTGCCATGTGGGTTCTGGGAATTGAACCCAGATCCTCTGGGAAAGCAGCCAGTCAGTACTTTTAACTGTTGAGCTATCTCTCCAGGGCCGCGCCCCCCCCCCCCCCCCCCCCCCCCCCCCCCCCCCCCCCCCGCCCCCAGCACTAAGAATCTAAAGAGCCTGTCCTGTTCTATTCCTAATTTCTTGGGTGATCTTGAACAACTGACTGACTTACTAAAATGTTTATAAATACATGCTATCTAAAGTCTTGTTTCCTATGTGTAATATACACCCATGTAGGTATTCTAGATGGTATAGCTGTTGAAAGACATACTACGTGTATTTGAGTTGCCCATATGAAAACAGAAAAAACCAAATTTTAGTGACATTTCCAAACATTGGGACCTCACAGTAAAGCTTAACTCTGTTTAGCAAATGTATTTTCTTAAAATGTCTTTTCTTGATATAAATGTGGTTTGGTTATCTATGCATTTGTTCATTGATTGTCCCCTTAAAACATTCATATCCCCTATTCCTTAAGGCTTGTTTTTTAATCCTTGTTAACTCTGTGCTGGCTGATAAAGCCACATTTCCTTTAAGGTACATGTTGTATGGATGGGGCTGGAGGGATAGCCAGTGCTTAGGAGCATTTGCTGCTCTTCCAGAGGATCCGAGTTTGATTCACAGCACCCACGTGGCAGCTAGCAACTGTCTGTAACTCCAGTTAATGGGGAATCCAACACCCTCTCCTGGCCTCTGTGAACATGGTAGACACATATAGATGCAGGCACACATGCAAAACACATTGAGTTTTGCCATTGTCTTCCTGTGGCAAATTACTACATTTCCACCTGAACATTGTCCAAGTCCCCAGCTTCTAACTTGAGTGTTTCTTTTCTCCACTTTAGTCCACAATGTCGAAAAACTGCATCAAGCTTCTGTGTGAAGATCCTGTTTTTGCCGAGTATATTAAATGTATCCTAATGGATGAAAGAACTTTTCTAAATAATAATATTGTCTACACATTCATGACACATTTCCTTCTAAAGGTATGTAGTTCTTCTGAAAGACCATTTCTGCTTAATGTGTGTTTACTATGTTAGTCTTGGATTTTAAGACTTGTTCTGTGTATGCACGGCCATGTTTTCTTTTCCAGGTTCAGAGTCAAGTGTTTTCAGAAGCAAACTGTGCCAGTTTAATCAGCACCCTTATCACAAACTTGATAAACCAATATCAAAACCTGCAATCTGATTTCACCAACCGAGTTGAAATTTCAAAAGCAAGTGCTTCTTTAAATGGGGTAAGAACTGTGCTAAGAAGTTCAAAACTGACCTTAAAATCAGCTCTTATAGCCGGGCAGTGGTGGCACACACCTTTAATCCCAGCACTTGGGAGGCAGAGCCAGGTGGATCTCTGTGAGTTCGAGGCCAGCCTGGTCTACAGAGAGAGTCCCAGGACAGACTCCAAAGCTACAGAGAGGAACCCTGTCTTGGGGTGGTAGTGGGGGTAAGGGGATCAACTCTTATATCTGGCCTCTGTTCAACTATTACTGTTTTAGTATTACTGTTTAACCTTACTGTTTAAAGGATCACATATGAGAAAAACTATTTCAATTTGGCATTCAATATGTTAAGGGCAATGAAACCAGTAAGAACTAAGATAGTAGCATATACCTGTAATCATAGCACTTGAGCAGTGGCAGGAAGATCATTGGCAAATTGGAGACTAGCCTTAGAACACGAGTTCCAAACCAGCCAAGGCTAAAAGTCTGTCTTTATAAAAAGCAGAATAGATCCCTTTATCTCTGCGTGTGTATGTGCACACATATATTGAAATTTGTGATAATTATATTGTCTATGACTCCCAAGTAATCAAAACAGTCCCACTTATGATTATAAAGGCAACTAAGACTAGAGAGTATATTGATTTATGTAGATTCTATGAAAGCCGTAGAATGGAACACGCTGGAAACATACAGACTGTCATTCAGCAACAGCCCCTAACTAACAAGATGCTTATAAAGCTAAGCAGGGTTTTTTGTTTGTTTGTTTGTTTGTTTTGGTACAGGGACATACACCAGAACTGAACTTGAGAAACTATGACTCCTATGAAATAAAATCAAATTTTATTTGAAATTATAGCATGATTTGAAAGCTGCATTATTTGGTTTCTGTTTCAAGAGTCTTTACTCTGGCCTACTTGACATAGGCACAAAACAATGGTATAAACGACTCAACCGATGGAATACTGTAATGTCCTAATGCTGGTTTTGCATTATTCCACATTGCCAGAGAAACCAGAATGGATAGATTCCTGGGGGAAAAAAAACCTCTTCAGCTTTGAAGTTTGTCTAAATGTTCCTTCAGGATTTGAACTCTTCTATCTGGGTTTTTGTAGGACCTGAGGGCACTTGCTCTGCTCCTGTCAGTACACACTCCCAAACAATTAAACCCAGCTCTGATCCCAACTCTGCAAGAGCTTTTAAGCAAGTGTAGAACTTGTCTGCAGCAGAGAAACTCACTCCAAGAGCAAGATGCCAAAGAAAGAAAAACTAAAGGTGAGCTTTGTCAACTAAGTCGTGGGCTGGGGCTGGGGGAGGAAGACAAGCTGGAGGTATGGCTCAGTGGTTGCTCTTGCCCTTAGCTTCAGCACTACAAAAAGAAAGCTAAAAACAAAACTGGCTTCCCCCACAATTGCCTCCCGTAGGATTTTAATCTCCTTTTGGAGAAGATTCTGTTTTAATATAATTTTCCCCCAACAGATGATGAAGGGGCAACTCCTGTTAAGAGGCGGCGAGTAAGCAGTGATGAGGAGCACGCCATAGACAGCTGCATTGGTGACATCAAAACAGATACCAGGGAGGTCCTGACCCCCACTAGCACCTCAGACAATGAGACAAGAGACTCATCAATTATTGATCCAGGGACCGAGCAAGACCTTCCTTCCCCTGAAAATGGCTCTGTCAAAGAGTATCGGATGGAAGGCCCGTCCTCCTTTCCAGAGGACGGGCCACATACCCGGTCACAGCATGCAGAGGGACAGTCTGACAGCGGCAGGTGTGACGACTGTAAACCCAAGGATACTGCACTAGCTGAAGACGAATCCGAATTCCCTTCAACCTCCATCTCTGCAGTTCTGTCTGACTTAGCTGATCTGAGAAGCTGTGACGGTCAAGCTTTGTCCTCCCAGGACCCCGAGGCTGCTCTATCACTCAGTTGTGGCCATTCCAGAGGCCTCTTTAGTCACATGCAGCAACACGACATTTTAGATACCCTGTGTAGGACCATTGAATCAACAATCCATGTGGTCACAAGGATATCTGGCAAAGGAAATCCAGCTGCTTCTTGACATTAGATGTGGCATGTCTACTTTTCAGTGCCCCTCCCCCATGCCGTTTGTCTCGATTTCGCTGATTTGTTTTGTGCTTCGGTTTGTCCAGTGCTCTCTGCTTGAATGGCAAGATAGATTTATAGGCTTACTTCTTGGTCAGGCAGAACTCCAGATGAAAAAACTTGCATCTTCTGTATACTTTCTAAAGGGCAATCAGATAATGGGTATGTTTTATGTAATTAAGAGTTCACTGTAGTGGCTTTCATTTAATATGGCTTTCTGGGAGAATCAGGGCTCTGACCCTGTACAATGTAATTTAAACTTACAGCATTTTTACTGTGTATAATAATATGGTGTCCTCTGTGCCAGTTTTGTACCTTAAAATAAGAGAGGCAGATTGCCTCTGATCGCTGTGGTTCTTATTATCAAAATTAAGTTTACTTGTATACGGAACAACCACAAGAAATTTGATTCTGTAAAGAATCCTCTTTAGCTGTGGCCTGGCAGTATATAAATGGTGCTTTATTTAACAGAATACCTGTGGAGGAAATAAAGCACACTTGATGTAAAAATAACTGTTTTATTTTTATTGAAATGACTGACTCTGTTCTGTGTACTAAATTAAACTGACTGTGATGACTTTCCTTTGTTACGTAAGTTGTTTCAGTTTCCTTGGACGACAGCAGTGAGCCGACTGAAGGGAGGAAGCATGTGGCTGTTTTGCTGTTTGAGAAGTCCTCAGTAGTCCAAAAAAGTAACTTACCACGTGGATGTCTCATTCCTCGGAAGCCACCAAGGAGAGCAAGAGAAGTGTTAACAATGCAGCCAGCTAGCCCTCACCACAACACTTCTAAGAACTACACCTTGAAAACTGGAGTAGAACAAAATAGTATAACATGCCATTTATTTGTCTTAAGCTTAAATCAACTGTAGCAATGAAGTAGTGTGTTGGGACCAGCCTTAGCTTGGGGGACTGGACTGCACCTACTTTCCAGAGAGGAACAGCCATGGAAGGTGAGATGATGTCTGATTTTACTCAGTGCAGAGTCTAGAATGCTCCAAGCAATGCTTTTCAATTCTGTAGTTTCATGAATTTCATCCAATATAAAATAAATTAGGGACCTTGGAGGAAGAGACTTTGAGCAAGAAAGAAGAGGTAAGTAAACAGGCCAGGTTTCTGCTTACAGAAGGATGTCCTTATAAAACCTAACTAATTCAAGCATTCTGGGTGGTGAGCTGAAGTAAACCTTTTATTTCTTCAAAGTGCTGCTTCTGCCAACAGAATTTTGTATTCTCTTCTTTACAGACAGGAACTCCTTTACAGTCCAATTGTAATTCCGTTTGCCCTGGAGCAGGCACAAAATTCAATGCAACTGTTGCATAGTGTTCTGGGGGGAAAAACCAGGAGCCTTATTATGACATCAGGAAGAAGAAAGTGTCCAGGCCAGCTGCACTTGGCTGGGCTTCCATATGTAAACTCATGTAACATACCTTCCGGCCAGTTCCTGCATCTCCATTTCATGGTGATCTTCCTGTTTGTTAACTGAAAACAAAGGAGACATTTCACTAAAAACATTTATTGAAACTTGCACCATACAACAAAAGAAACTAACCCTTCCGAGTTAAGCTCCTTTCAATACTAGAACCAACAAACAGCATATAATCCTGTCTTCCAGTTTACACCAATGCTCTCCAAGATCCTTGGCAACATTAATACCAAGGACCAAGCTACGGTAATAACTGGTAATAACTACACAGCTGATTGGAAATGCCAGTGATATCTGGCAGCTTGGACCCTAATGACATAGAGTGCTGGAACCAGCAGAGCTTGAAGTCTCCAAGACAAAGTGAGGCAGAATTACTATCAAAATAAGGCTTAGTCCTTATCATTACTTAAAAATGCACAGTATATAACGTTTTTCTTTTGTTCTACATTGAACTGTATTAAAAAGAACTTGAGACTGAACTCATCAAAACCTTTGAACAAGTTAAAATAGGAGTAAAGAGCAACATTATCCCAGGTCACCACTGGAACCTTGTAGTTACTTACCAGTTCCACATATTCTCCAGTGATGTTCCCATCAAACATCTGGAATTTCCCTCCCCTTTCAGCTTCTAATACAGCAGGAGATTTGGAGAACTTTTGCACCAACTAGGCAAACAAAACAGACGTATTACTCCAATGCATGCTGTCACCCTACACGTGGTAAGGCATATACCAGCGTCTAACATGCCAGGTCAGTCAGCATTTCACCAACGATGTGGCTTTGCTTTAATTGTGTTGGACATCAAAGCTTTCTTCTTTATAGAGGTGGGAAATTTATATATCCCCACTGCCGATACAGCCCACCCCAAGTGCTCATCGTCACTCAAGTTTTTCAGAAGCCTTCCCTGGCTTCTCATCACCAGTGTCCTTTCTTCAGAAGCAGACTATTCCTTGGGACAGAGCTTCACACCGAGTTTGGTAGAGTGGCTCAGGGTGTTACTTACGTCTTTCACGGTGAAGATACTGTACAGCTGTTCTACTGTCGTGTCAAACTGCTCCGTCAAGTGCAAGGCTACAGTCGGAATCCTTACACCCAGTGCCACTGGAGAAGCCTGCACCTCAAGATGGGAAAGAGGGTCAAGAGGACGGTGAGACACCAGAAGAGAAGCGACAGGATCCAAAGGTGAATCCTACGAGTTGCACACTGCTGCCTCCATTTACAGAAGAACAGCATTAAAGTTCTTTGCTCCAGCAGTGATGCTGTGACGCTGGAAACAGCTTGTTCCTATGAGCACTTTACCTCCATTCCACTCCCAGGCTATAGCTCAACACCTCTGATCTTAGTTAGACCCAGAACATGACAAGAGGGTGGAAGATGACCACACCTAAAGGGTGTTCATTCCATGCATACATTCCAAAACCAAGACCTCTACAGAACATTCTTCTGTCACGATAGATGAGCCTCAATGTCACTTGCTTTTGCTGGCTATGATGGCTTACACTTCTGCTCTCAGCAGACAGAGGTCTGAAGCAGGATCACCATGAGCCTAGGCTAGTCTATCAGCCAATGACTTAAAAATAATTTTGATGAAGTACACGGCCTGTTTAGTGTTCTCATCCATAAAGAATTGGAACCTCAGGCTAGAGGTGAGTTTTGTGGTAGGGAGCATGCCCAGCATACAATTGCCTCATACCTGGCACAAAAAAAGCAAAAAAGTTGTATTTTGTCATTGCACAAAATGACATCAATACCCTTTCCTCATCTACAACCCAGTATCATCAAAAGATTGTCTGGAAACTCATTAAAGGTGGCTTCCCTCACTGTAGCCACCAGGCTCATACCTGCAAAGTACTTCCAGTCAGTTTCCTCTGAGCAGTCAGTTCCTGGGTTGCTACAGCTTTTGTTGGTAAAATCATTCCTGTTGTAAATTCTATAAGGAAATAATAAAATTTTATTAACATTTTTATCTAAACTGGAATTTTTCAAAAGAACACTTTGAGGCCTTGAAAAGAACTCTCATGTTTTTACATATATTACTGATGCTTATTAGCAAAGGCCCTTTGTTCTTTGTTCATTGCCTTGCTTTACCACATTCCTCTAAAATGCTGACTTTTCCACAAGTTCAAAATAGCAAAGTTGTACACGATTAACTATTAATAGCTTATGGTTCTCACCTACTCTCCACTACCTCTCACAAAGCTTATTCTCATTCAGTCTTCATGCCTGCGAGGTCTTGTGGGAAGAGTGCTGACCCCAAACCTGTGTACGCCAATACCTGGACACTCAATGAGCAAGCTTCAAAGATGAGCTACAGAGAAAGCCCTGCTGGCCACTCTGCCCCGCTGTCAGCTCTAATTTGGGAAAATGACAATAGCCTCACTTGATACAGTATAGGGATTATCTAGGTATTGCTGATACCTGAAATATCTGTAGTCACTTTCATTCATACATTTATTCACTCAGCAAAGATTTATTAAGCACCTACTATATGCCAGGCATTGTGCTAGATGCTGGAGATACAGCAGTGAACAAGAGAGACAGCTTCCATGCCCTCATGGAGCATATAGTCTAGCAGGGAAGACAGACATTAAACAAGTAATTACATAAAAACTAGTCCACTGGGTTTTTTGTTTTGTTTTTTCTTTTTTGAATGGGGTCTCACTGTGTGCCAAGACTAGGCTCAAACCTGCAACGATCTTCCTACCTCAGCTTCCCGAGTGCTGAGACTTTAAGTGTATCATCATGCCCAGCTCAGGAAATTATCGACAAGTGGCAATTATTACAGTCTTTCCCACAACTAGCTTTCAACACCCAGACTACAACTTATTCTGCAGTCTAATGGTGTTTCAGGAGCCTGACTTGGGAATCCATCCCTCTTGCAAAATGTAACTTGGGTCAACACCAAGGGACTCGGTGGTTCACAAGGGATGCCGCCTTTACCCGTCTTGAGCGCCTTCAGGTACTCTCCAAGAGCCTCCCTGACCTTGGCAGTGCCTGTAGTTTTCATAAGATCCTTCAGTATGTCCCCATCTCCTTTTTTTTTACTCACGTTCACCTACAAATCAGAAGAATAAAAACCTAAGAAAAAACTCGTTGAATGTATTCTTCCAACACTGGGTCCTATTGGTAACGGAACTGTGGATGAGAGAGAGGAGGTGGTACAAGAAATGTAAGCTGCTTCATGGTCACAGAGGAGCTAAGCATTTTTGAGGCCAGTACTGGCAGCCACGTTGTGAATGGACTGAACAGATCAACCATTTAACTTGATTTGAAATTGCCTAAGTATAGGAGTTAAACTGATCATGGCTTTATCTAGAGAGGGTCTGGTATGGCAGCTCACCTGTGGCTAAGCATTTAACAAGTGCCTGGTTTGAACTAAACTAACACACCAGATTCCAAAGACTTAATACAGAGGAGAAAAAAAGGTAAAGTACCTCATCAATTATTTGTTAATTACATGTTAAAATCATATTTACTCTCTGCTGGATACTGGATTAAAAATGTTTAATTATCTGGTTTTTAATGTGGTAAATTAAAATTTAAATTGCATTATGTGACATTTATACTGAACAGCGCTGGTCTACAAACCCAAAGCCACCACCCAAGAAAATCAAGTTCCCATATAACCTGGCCTTGGACTGTATACTCTTGGCAGAGAGAAAAATTAGCTAAGGGAGAGGGAAAATGGAAGAGGAATGCAACAGAAAGACAGGGATGCAGTAAGTGGTCTGGTATTTGGAATGCAAAAAGGTGTTGTTCTCAAACTACAGGAGGTCCCAGTGATTCTGGACTGGGCTGCATCTGAATCTGCCAGATGGTACTTGCAGGATAGACCTTTAGATCTGTTTAATATGCCACCAGGAAGCTGCATTGTTGAGCTCCATGTGGTAAAACTACAGCACCCAAGTAGAGCAAGCTAAGTCTTGGGTGCTAAGCAAGTTATGTCTGAGACAGGCCCACTTAAGACCTGAGACACACTTAGAGACGGCTTTTGCCAGTGTCTAGCTTTGGAAATGACAGCTCCTGTACAACAGTCTTGCCCCCAAGAGACAATGTGAAGAGTCAAAGTGGGCATAGGAATAAGCCAGCTCCTCTTAGGGGGCAAGAAAGCCAGCCAGTCAAAAATAACTTTTTTTTTTTTTTTTAAAGCAATGAGGCAAACCCAAGAGTACAGTACAGTTGAAGGCTGAGAACTGTCCCCACTAAGGGGAAACAGTCATATTCAGCAAGCCATGCAAATGGCCCAAGCACTTCCCAGCACATACCTTGTCCCATTTAACCTGAATACATCCCAGGATAAATTAACTACACAGATAGGAAGCCAGGCTGCTGCAGTCAGGTACCTGCCCAGGTCCTGGGAGTCTGAAGCTCCCAAGGGCGTCCTCTCCCACTCTGCTCCACCTCTCATATACCCATAGTGCAATGGCAGACAGCCTCCACAGTTCACAACTACCACGGGAGACCACACACCCGAGTGAGGAGTCTGCAACTACCCAACACCAAGAGCTGCAACTACCCAACACCAAGAGCAGAAGCTTGACTAGAAAGGAGAGCCTAGTAGGTACCTCGGTGTCATCGACTTCGTTCTCTTCGGAAAGGCTGGGTATTTCAATCAATCCTTTGTGTTTTGCACCAGATTCTTTAACTGTACCTAAAAGGAGCAAAACGGGCACAATTAATAACTGGTTTTATTCAAAAGTCCTCTGCCTGACTGAAGAGCCCACGTATGGCTCCACCCCCTTACAGGGTTAAGGCCATCAAAGAACAACCGAGACACAGTGGCTGGATCGGCCAATTGGTATACACACACTGGCTTCTCTGCCACCCACTTCTCTTGTCTTGCAGTGTTCTTTGCCAGTCTAGCAAGAAGGGCTATTTTGAGGGGAAGAGGACACCAGAAGGACAAGTGGGCAGAAAGGGACATGTGGACAGAAAGGGACAGAGGGACAAAAAGGGAAAATGAGCTCTGACCATGGAAAGCTTCAAAAGCTGTGGCTTGGCAAAGTCCATGTGGACTTGGTGAAGTTGGATTTCTTCCCAGTCCAAAACCTCAATGTCGTCAAGGACACAATGGGTTAAAAGCCCTTGCAGCCAACTCCTGGTCACACACAGAGACTTCCTCTTGTTTTCAATGCACATCCTTCTTACCATACTGGTCTGGGAGTACACAGAGCACTTAATATAAGTGTACTCAAAATGAGTACTAGGCTCACAGGCAGGGCTATGCAACTGGAACACTGTTCACCAATAGCCACACTGACACTTAGGCATGATCTAAAGGCATTTCATTGCCACAAGGTGAGAAAGGGTTCCACCACCCACAACAGGCTGCCTTCCAGCCCGATGAGTTGAGTTTATGCCACACAGGCATCAGGAGTGACTGATTCTCTGAGCCCAGACCATATATGGGACAACTTCAAATGCCAGTTTTTGGTTTTGTTTGTTGGTTGGTAAATGTAACTAACACATTAACTTAATCCAGAAGCCATAACAGAGCCCTGAGATGTGGACCTGACTGCAGAAGTGTACAGACCAACTCGCAGCACACATGGACTCCAGCCACCCTCCTCAAATAGTGCTAGCGAACAAACACTGGCAAAATCTAGTATCAGAGGCTTGAACAGAGCGCCCAGGCTCCAGAAGTGCTACTCTGACCAGATTCTCTAAAGGAAGTGTATGTAGGAGACAGAAATGCCAAAGTGCAAAGGTCAGCCCCAGATCCCCACCTACCTCTTCAACTAGAGATGCCCATAACGTGGTCAGTGTTGACTTGCAAGGGAGGTGCCAAGGAACAGAGTAAGAGTGACAGCGTCTTTAGGACACTGGCCTGTCCACTTGCCTTTACTTCTTGCCCTTGCCCTAGCAGTCACAGGTTTTATGCCCACTTTGGTCTCTTCACTCCCCACCCTACCCCCAAGGAACTACCCAGGGATGATGGGCTTCAAGGTCTTATCCCACACATAGACAACAGGAACACCAATTGGCAGATTCAGCTCAATGATGGCCACTTTAGAGGTACCTTCAAGATGCTTGATTCTGCCCCAAAGACTGTTTCCATGGCAACAATATATATTTCTTTCCCCTTCTAGGTCTGGGGATCTATTTTCTTGTCATGCAAAAAAGTGGTTGCTTGGGGCAAGGGAAATGAAAAGATACAGGCCATGAGGTTCTTCAGACTCCAGGCCTGCTACACCCCAGCAGCAGGAGCTACAAAGAAAGCAAGTGAGAGCAACTCCCAGCTGGAGAAGGGGTCTGTTCAGAGTCAGGGCTGAGACTGCTTGAGTGCATGTGCAAGTGAGTAAGCGTGCACATGTGTGCAAGTCACTTAAGATCTAACCTAGAGCCTTCTGCACACTAGGCAAGCATTCCATCACAAGCTACATTCCAAGCTCTTGGCTTTTATGAAGTAGATCTATGTAGCTCAGGCTAGCCTTAACTTGCCGAGAATTTTCTGGGACTGCTTTGATATTTGAATACTTCCTTGACTCCTGCACAAAGACATCAGTCCCAAGCCAGCGTAGAGAACTCCTCTCTAAAACTACACAGAAAGGAGCCACCTCAAGGGCAGAGACCCAACTTCTTAACACAATGCAGTCCTCCATAACCACATCTCTCTTGCCCCTGTCCCTGGGTCTGAACCTTGGTCATTTCAACAAGTATTGAGTCAAAAGTTAAGTGCCATAGGAGAACTTGGCAAAGACAAGAAAATCACCAACAGAAATGCCCGACTAGTAAACAGACAAAATGTGGTCTATCCGAAAGCATAAAATACTGAAACATGGTACAACATGGACTGAAAACATGACCTGAAAGCAGAGACAGGGAACTGTACACATGACAGGACTCTAGCTGTATGAATTGTCAGAGGCAAATCCACACAGACAAAACCTGTGCTAAAGACCCCAAGGGAGGGCTGGCAAGGCAGCTCAGTGGTAAGGAGCTTACTGCTGCAGCTTCGTGACGTGAACTCGATTCCCAGAACCCAAACAAAGGGGAAGAGCCAACTCCACAAATGTGTCCTTGGACCTCATATACCCACCAGGGCACACATGCCCACACACACATTGTACACATGCATATTTTTAAAAGACCCATGGGTGGGCTGGGAAGGAGGCACAGTGTTAAAAGCGCTTCTTACCAATCCCGCTAACTTCAGTTCCACCCTTGGAGACCTGCGTGGCAGAAAAACGGACTCTGCAAGTTGTTTGCCTTCTACACATGTGCTGCAGCACACACAAATGATTTTAACTTTTTAAATAAAAAATTTTGAGGGAGCAGGCATCTGTGGAGGAAGGGTGCTCCAGGCAGCAGCTCCATGAAGCCCTAATCACAGCTGATGGTAAGCTGAGAGAGTACTGCCCTTCAACCATCTAAAGTGCTGGGTAAAGTGCAGTTTCAAAACCAGCAGCTCCAAATGCATCTGCATCAAGAACTATACTGCTCACTGACTGGAAAAACTGCCCAGCCTGCCTCGTGCAGGACCCCATTACCTTTCCAGGTCAGCCTGATGTTCCACTCATAGAAGAAAATCAGCTTTCCTTTGCGGCTGCTACAGGAAGCCTCTCCTTCCACCTGCTTCAACTCACTGATTTCACATCGGCCAGCCTCGTTCTCCACAGCAAGGCCAACCAGGAGCTCTCGGAGCTTCCCCTTGGACCAGACAGTGGCATTCCGCTCTGTCCTGCCAGAGAACAGAAAGACAGGAGTGAATGGCCCAGCTCGACTCCACATGCCCGGCGGATGCCTTCCAGACCCACACCAGGTGAGCCCTGTTACTCACGCAGCCTCCAACTTGCAAATGTGCTTCTTCGACTAGGTCTCTACTAGGTGTCTTCTAAGCCTGCTGCTCAGTTTAAGACACTACTAGTCATCATATACTACTGGGCAATCTTAAAAACAATGGCCCCAGGAAGGAGAGTCAAGCAATCTCACCCACAGGAAATTATTGGGCTGAGGCCATCTGTAACGGTGGTAATCATTTAAATAACCTTAATCACAGTACAAACTATTGAGCTTTTCCATATTTCTCTCATGCACTCTCCCTAATGCTCCCATCTGAAGGGACGGAGAGCGGCTGTGACAAGTCAGTGTCCTAGCCACGGAACCCAGCCTAGAACACTGGACATCATTCTTTCAGGACAGCCAAGTCATCTAATGGTGCGGTCCGGGCTCGGCCCCGGGAACTGCCTCAGCTTTCCCCAACGCCCGCCAGAGAGGCGGACATCTCCCGGTATTCCAGAGACACAAAGCGGGCAGGTAGCGAGTGCAAACTGAGACAAAGCAAAGAAAGTGAGAGCCAAGCCCCTGCCCTTCCAACTGCACGGGGATACGGCCCTCGGCACACGCACGCGCACTACGCAGCTCAAGCCCGAAAAGGCCTGGTGAGGGGCGACCGAGGCACAGATGGGGGGCGGTGAGGCACAAGGCCCCCGCGGGGCTTGGCCCAACTTTCGGGAGGAGCCTGAAGCCGGAGGGCCGGGGCAGTTACGAACCGTCGCCCGCCAGGGGCAGGCGTGCTGCGGCGCCGCGCGGCCCTCCCAGCAGCCCGCCCGCCCGCCGGCCCGCCCGCCCGCGCCCGGGGCCCAGCCGCCGCCCGCCGCACCAGTGCCAGTTGTTCACGTTGGTCCCGTCCTCCCGCTCCTCCACGATCCAGCGCGGGTCCCCCTGACCCCACTTGGCCATGGCGGCCCGGGCGGCGCAGACGACGAGGGCCCCGGTAGCGGGTACGCACGGTTTCCGGCCCGAAGGTCTGCGAGCCCCGCAGGTCCCAGAAAGTGCCAGAAGTCCCCGCCCGGGGCCGCTCCGGCCGCGGCCTGCCCCGCCCCCCGCCGCCCGCTCCCGCCGCCCGCTCCGCCCCACACCGACTCCGCCCCCCGGCCGCTCCCGCTCCGCCCCGGGCCCTGTTACGCCCTCAATAGGCCCCACCTCGGGACGCCGCCTTCTGCCCGGCTCCTCCCCCGGACTCGCTCCGCCCCTCTCCTCTAGGGCTCCGCCCCGTCCCTGGCTCCGATTCTCCGCTAAGGTTCCGCCCCGCCCCTGGCTCCGCCCCTAGCCCAAGGCTCCGCCCTCCCCTGGCTTCCTTCCTCCCCTAGGGCTGGGACTAGGACTACCGGCAGCTCGCTACTCCCTGGTGCGCTGAGGACTTGCAGCTGGTTCCGGAAGCCGAGCGGGGCTGCTGGCCCGGGCCTCCTACCGACGGCCAGGACTCCGCCCAGGGCTCGCACTAGCGCTGGCTTTCTCTATTCCGAGAAGGCCCGCGGGTCGCGAGCGAGCTGCGCAGTGCTCTAAACCCAGCACCGGGCTACTGAAGGAATACTTACCTTTATTCATGCAGTACTCCTCTGGAGACCGTCAAGGACTGTGCTTGCAAACGCATGGGATTGTGACTTAATACAGTTACAATACGGTTTATTAATTCTTTTCACTATCTAGTAAAAACTGCAACAACCATCTGGAAAGTGTTATTTAGGCGATTTATTTAGCAAAGAAAATAGGTAGTTCGGTGGGAGGTTGGGAAGGACCTGGCTGTGCTGTGGCCATGCCGGTCAGTGGTCTGCATGTCTGTGAAACAAGCTGCTGGTTGGAGCTACTGCATTTCAATGTGTTCTTGGAGAAGCTGCTGACGCCACCACGCTGTGACTGCCACATCAAAATGACATTGGGAGTTCGTCTGATCGGACCAGAGACACAGCCGAGTGAAGGCATCGGAGACTGCGTGCTTACCCTTTCCAGTTCTGATTGCTCCTAACAAAGCATCACATGATAAGGTTTAATAATCATTTGAACCTGCCAGAAAATAAGACTTTCTGAGGCCATAAGCTGCTATAATCACTAAAATGTGTAAACTCCAAAACTGTACAAGAACTGACACCAAAGGAGATAAATTCACTAAAATGAGTGCGGCTCTAGCTGGAGGTACACAGACCGCTGGACCCTGAAGCGCTCGCTCTTCAGGTCTGCGATTTAAAAATGGCCTCCAATGAAACTACATTGCAAAAATGGGAAAGAAACACAACGGAAAGTGTAAAAAAGCGGAAAGGAGGCCCTGAGAATATTGTGGTAGAGAAAGAATCATGGACCAATAGCTAGCGAGCAAAAAGGTGGAGTCCCTTCCAGGCGCATTTGTAGACTGTGACAATATTTGGGATCCTAAAGAGATTTCAAATTGTCCAGAGTTAACTGAAGTTTTCCTTAATTTTCAAGAAGCTGGTAAAGAAAAAGATACAAAAAGAAAACCGTTACATGACAGTGAGCGGGCAGACATGAGTCCAAGGGAAGAGGTGTGGCTGCAGACGGGAGAGGCCCCAGCAGACCTGGGCAGCCGACTGCAGTGAGAAGCAGTGTTTCCACGTCATGGAAGGTGCAGCTCAGATCAAGCCAGCTGGGTGCAGCTGGAGGCACAGGGGAAGTCCTCTTCAACTGTGACTGTTTGTGTAAACAACTGGCCTGGCATCCTTGTCCTTCTAGTCCAGAACATGACCTTGATAATTGTTTGCACTTTTAGACTTTTATGTTTTATTTATGGTGTGTTTGTTTGCACACACTCACCTACAGGCCACAGCACAGGCCTGGAGATCAGAGGTCAACTTCCAGAATCAGTTCTCTGCTTCTACTATGTGGACCCCAGGGATGGAATAATGTCATTAAGAGTATATATATATATACACACATATATATATATACATAATTGTATATAATCTGGGTCTTGTTTTTTAATTACTAGTGTGAAAAAAGTAACTACATTCTAATGAAAAAGCAAGTTCAATATGTTGTTTTGAAAATAATGACATTTTGTATGTTATTTGTATGTGTATGCAAGTAAGTGTGCAGGTCCAAGAAGTGGCTATGCATTTGAATGCAGAGACCAGGGCAGAATGCCAGATAGCTTTCTCTCCCGTTCCCATTTTAAAAACAGTGTTTATTGGGGCTGGAGAGATGGCTCGGGGGTTAAGAACACTGGATGCTCTTCCAGAGGACCTGGATTCTGAAATCCACATGGCAGCCCACAACTCCAGTCCCAGGGGATCCAAAACCCCCTTCTGACCTCCTCAGGTACAAGGCATTTGTGGGGTGTATAGATATACATGCAGGCAAAATACCATATACATAAAATATCTTAATATCTTTTAAATTTTATTTTTATTATTTTAATTATGTGTATGTCGGATGGGGATATGTACATATGAATGCAAGGGCCCACAGAGGCCATAAGTGTTAATGCCTCTAGAGCTGGGTTACAGGCAGTTGTAAGCCACCTGATGTGGGTGCTGGGAATTGAACTCAGCAGTATGTGCCCTTAACCACTCAACTATTTCTCCAGCCCCCCAAATAATTTTTTTTAAAACCAAAATACATTTATCATTTACACTTGGGGTCATGAGTGTGGAGGTCAGGAGACAAGCTTCTGGAGTCTGTTCTCTCCTTCCACCGTGTATACATTGTTCCCCCCTTTTTTGGTAAACAGTTTTATATTATTTAAGGATAAATAGTTCTATCCTTAGAATGTTAGTACTTTTTAAATCACAGTGCATGCTTCTAATTTCAGCACTGGGAGCTCAAGGGCAAGTGACTGTGAGTTCTTGTTCAGCCTGAACTACAGGATTCAAACCCTGTTTCAAAATAAATAAATTTTAAAAATAAAAGAGAGTGTGCCCTGGGATGGAGGGTTGGCTCAGCAGTTAAGAGCACTGACTGCTCTTCCAGAGGACCTGGGTTCAATTCCCAGCACCCCATATGGCAGCTCACAACTGTCTGTAACTCCAGTTCCAGGGGATCCAGCACCCTCTCTGGCCTCAGCGAACAGCAGCCACACATGTGGTGCACAAACAAGCAAAATACCACATACAAAAAACAAATTATTAAAAAAAAAAAAGTGTTGCCCCTAGGTGGCCACTCTCACTGGAAAATTGGGACCGGCTGCAATTCCATGGGACAGCATTGTGCATTTCTTTTTATAATTCCGATGCCTATGCGTGTGTCCAACTTCAGTCACACTCACCAAAGACAGCCGCTGTGGTACAGGCCTGCTGGTGTCGAGGATGCGTTCCCTCTCTGTGTGCTGCACCACCACAGTGGGCACCAGGAAAACTGAGTGTGACTGGATGAACGCTTCTCAATATTTCTGCATTCCAACCTGTTAATAGACTAAAGTCTATCTGGGAGGTAGGAAACATCTTTTTTAGATTGCATTTATGCATTTGTGTGAGTGCAAAGGTCGGGAGACAGCCTGCAGGAGGCAATCTTCCCTTCTACTACGTGGGTCCTGGAGCTGAAACGGAGCATGTCAGGCTTTTCCGCAAGCATCCTTACCAGCGGCCACTCACTGGCTATCACTTTTTCTTAGTGACAGAAAAGAGTTTAAAGGATCAGAGTGATTACAGATAGTTAAGGGAATTTTGTTTGCTTGTTTGTTTTTTTAAAGATGTACCTTTATGTTGAACCACGTGTGTCTGGGTGTGGGCATGTGCCTGTGCAGTGCAGGTGCCCTCCAGAGCCCTCGGGTCACCTGGAGCTGAGGTTTCCGGCAGTTGTGAACTACCTACCGTGGGATCAAAACTTAGGCAACTGAATTTGGATCCTTCGCAAGAGCGGTATGGCACTCTTAGCCGCTCTCGCTCCAGCCCCAAAACATCATTTGTTTAATAAATTGTATTTATGTTTATGTGTATGGGTGTTGTGCCTGCATGTGATATGTAAATTTATTTACCATCTGCATTCAGTGCCCATAGAAGCCAGAAGAGGGCACTGGATCCTCTGGTACTGGCATTAAAGGCAGTTGTGAGCTGCCATGTGGGTGCTTGGAAATCAAACCCAGGTCCTCTGGGAAAGCAGGCAGTGCTCTTAACCACTGAACCATCTCTCCAGACCAAAACACAGTTTCTTTGTGTGTGTGTGTGTGTGTGTGTGTGTGTGTGTGTGTGTGTGTGTGTGAAGCCAAGCATTGTGATACACACTCGCAGCCCCGGCTTCTCTGGAGGCTAAAGGAGATTCACTTCAGCCCACGAGTCAAGAACAACATAGGTAATATGACAAAACCCCCATCTTAAAAAGAGGAATCAGGCCGGGTGGTGGTGATGCACGCCTTTAATCCCAGCTGAGGCCGGCGGATCTCTGTGAGCCTGGGCTACAGAGTGAGTTCCAGGAAGGGCGCCAAAGCTACACAGTAACCCTGTCTTGAAAAACCAAAAAAAAAAAAAGAATCAGACAAAGCCACGTGAAAACACTGCAAAACAGTCCCAAACCAACACTCGCCTGCTCTGTGTGCCCTACCTGTCCTGGCTTGCTCTCTGCCGCTCTGATAAAACAAAGCCAACTTAGGAGCGATGGGGTTTATTTAGCTCACAGGTGTAGTCCCTCAAAGAAGGAAGCCAAGAGAGCCCTCCAGGCCGGAACCTGGAGGCACTAACTGAAGCAGAGAGCACGGAGGAGTGCTGCTCCTGGCCTGCTCCTGATCGCTTGCTCAGCCTCCTCTGCAACCCCAGACGGCTGCCCAGGAATGGCACCGCCCGCTGTCGGCTGAGTGCCCCACATCAATCACTCAAACCCTCGGGCCAGCGTAGGGAGGCAGTTCTTCACTTGAGGGCCCGCTTTCTGCGTGACTCTAGTGCGTGCCAAGTTAACAGAAACAAACCAGCGCGCTGACACCACAGTGCCATAGATACTGTGCCCATGGCAGAGAACTGGGCCAAGGTGGGTAGACAGACTCTTGACAGGCGGGGGTGGGAGAGTGCCTTCCAGAACAAAGACGTGTGGACTGTGCTGGTCGGCACGGGGAGGAGGGCGAGCGGGGCGGGGTCGGCACGGGAGGAGGGCGGGCGGGGCGGGGTCAGCACCGGGAGGAGGGAGGAGGGCGGGCGGGGCGGGGTCAGCACCGGGAGGAGGGAGGAGGGCGGGCGGGGCGGGGTCAGCACCGGGAGGAGGGCGGGCGGGGCGGGGTCGGCACGGGAGGAGGGCGGGCGGGGCGGGGTCGGCACGGGGAGGAGGGAGGAGGGCGGGCGGGGCGGGGTCGGCACGGGAGGAGGGAGGAGGGCGGGCGGGGCGGGGTCGGCACGGGAGGAGGGAGGAGGGCGGGCGGGGCGGGGTCGGCACGGGAGGAGGGCGGGCGGGGCGGGGTCGGCACGGGGAGGAGGGCGGGCGGGGCGGGGTCGGCACGGGAGGAGGGCGGGCGGGGCGGGGTCGGCACGGGAGGAGGGCGGGCGGGGCGGGGTCAGCACCGGGAGGAGGGCGGGCGGGGCGGGGTCGGCACCGGGAGGAGGGCGGGCGGGGCGGGGTCGGCACGGGAGGAGGGAGGAGGGCGGGCGGGGCGGGGTCGGCACGGGAGGAGGGCGGGCGGGGCGGGGTCGGCACGGGAGGAGGGCGGGCGGGGCGGGGTCGGCACGGGAGGAGGGCGGGCGGGGCGGGGTCGGCACGGGAGGAGGGCGGGCGGGGCGGGGTCGGCACGGGGAGGAGGGCGGGCGGGGCGGGGTCGGCACGGGAGGGGGGGTCTTCCGCACCGTGGAGAAGCAAGCACGCTGCAGCCCTGGCGTGGCTCGCAGTGCGCTGCTCGGGACGAGTCGAGTGAGTCCCGGGAGTTTCCTCAACTGTGAACTTCACCTGTGAAATGGGGTAGCGTGACCTGCCAGCTGCGAGCCTTAGATTAAACGGCTGGTGACTGGAGAGAATTCGTCTCTGCCGTGTGCGAAGGATTGCGGAGCTGGAGAGGATTAACAGATGAGGGTCTCTGTTCGCCACTTTCCTAAAGCAGGCACAGAGATTCCTAGAGACAAGGTACTCAGCAACGCGAAGGTCCACTACTGGAGACAAGATCAGACTTCCTGTGGAAGGTGGCATCGGGAAGGTGGAAAGTGTTTTCATTTTTAGTATTGATCTTTATTTTACTTGTATTTCTATTTATGTGTATTTGTGTGTAGACGGAGTTTACGGTAATTGGGATACATCCCACCTGGATGTTGGAAACTGAACTGGGGTCCTCCAAAAGAACAAGTGCTCTCAACTGCTGAGCCATCTTCTCCGGCCCCCTGTTTTCAGTGACCAATTGATTGATTTTTTTTAAATTTTTAAATTTATTTTCTTAATTACATTCATGATATTCATTAATTATATTCATGATATTAATTGTATTTGTGGTATTCATTGATTACATTCGCAGTCTTCATTCAATAACTATATTGATGATATTCATTAATTACATTAATTGTATTGATTTATTACATTCATGACATTGTGTCCTGATACTACTGTCCATTTGTGGGGCTTTTCCATCACACAAAACAGAGATTCTGTACTTAGGAAATCATTGCTCTATATTCCTTTCTCCTCCATCTTGAGATAACATCTAATCTTTCTGTCTCTATGAATTTGTATATTCTATATATTTCATGTAATACAATTCCATAGTATTTGTCCTTTTTTAATGTAAAAATATTTTATGTACAACTGCAGGAGAAATAATACACAGATAGCTTGAACATAAAAACAGGTTATAATTCAAAAGTTATTTGAAACTGGGAAATAGTTTCTCTGTAGAGAATAGTAAAAATGATGGACATTTCCCAATAAGCCCTTTTAAGCCAAATGATAGCTGAATTATACATATAAGTATTGATTAGATTCCGGGATACAGAAGAGACCTATCTTCATCTGTTCAGAGAGCTATGTTTTACTTAAGTTGTGTAAGTGAGATTCCTATTCATCTTCCCCTTCACTGTTTGATTTACAGCAGACATTTTTCTATAGGCTAATCCATAATCTATTAAGATTTTAGCCTCCCCTCCTGAAAGTACAGCCAGCATATCCTTTCATCAGCTTGATACGGTACAAATTCTTATCCTAATAGTGAAATGTTTCACTAAAGCTTGTCCAGTGATTGGGCAAAACCAAAACTTACTATAAGCCACAGTCATCCTAGGGTCCCCCCTGCTAGGTAGCCTCCCTGGATCTGTGGGTTACAGTCTGATTGCCCTTTGCTTTATATCTAGTATCCACTTAAGAGTGAATATATACCATGTTTGTCCTTCTGAGTCTGGATTACCTCACTCAGGATGGCATTTTCTAGTTCTATTCATTTGCCCGCAAATTTCATGATGTCATTGTTTTTCTCTGCTGAGTAGTACTCCATTGTGTATATGTACCACATTTTCTATATCCATTCTTCAGTTGATGGGCATCTAGGTTGTTTCCAGGTTCTGGTTATTACGAATAGTGCTGCTATGAACATAGTTGAGCATGTATCTTTGTGGTATGAATCAGCGTTCCTTGGGTATAAGCCCAAGAGTGGTATGGCTGAGTCTTGAGGTAGATCAATTCCCAATTTTCTGAGAAACCGCCATACTGATTTCCACAGTGGTTGTACAAGTTTGCACTCCCACCAGCAGTGGAGGAGTGTTCCCTTTGCTCTGCATCCTCTCCAACATAGACTGTCATTAGTGTTTTTGATCATAGCCATTCTGACAGGTGTAAGTTGGTATCTCAGAGTCATTTTGATTAGAATTTCTCTGATGATTAAGGATGTTGAGCATATTCTTAAATGTCTTTCAGCCATTTGAGATTCTTCTTTTGAGAATTCTCTGTTTAGCTCTTTAGCCCATTTTTTAATTGGATTGTTCAGTATTTTGATGTCTAGTTTCTTGAGTTCTTTATATACTTTGGAGATCAGTCCTCTGTCAGATGTGGGGTTGGTGAAGATCTTTTCCCATTCTGTAGGCTGTCTTTTTGTCTTATTGACCGTGTTTTTTGCCCTATGAAAGCTTCTCAGTTTTAAGAGGTCCCATTCATTAATTGTTGCTCTCAGTGTCTGTGCTACTGGTGATATATTTAGGAAGTGATCTCCTGTGCCAATGCGTTCAAGACTAGTTCCTACATTCTCTTCTATCAAGTTCAGTGAAACTGGATTTATGTTGAGATCTTTGATCCACTTGGACTTGAGTTTTGTGCATGGTAATAGGTATGGATCATTTGCAATCTTCTACATGTTGACATCCAGTTATGCCAGCACCATTTGTTGAAGATGCTTTCTTTTTTCCATTGTATAGTTTTGGCTTCTTTGTCAAAAATCAGGTGTTCATAGGTGTGTGGGTTAATGTCAGGGTCTTCAATTCGATTCCACTGGTCCGTATGCCGGTTTTTATGCCAGTACCAAGCTGTTTTTACTACTGTAGCTCTATAGTAGAGCTTGAGGTCAGGGATAGAGATGCCTCCAGAGGTTGCTTTCTTGTACAGGATTCTTTTAGCTATCCTGGGTTTTTTGTTTTTCCATATGAAGTTGAGTATTGTTCTTTCCAAGTCTGTGAAGAATTGTCTTGGGATTTTGATGGGGATTGCACTGAATCTGTAGACTGCTTTTGGTAAGATTGCCATTTTTACTATGTTAATCCTACCTATCCATGAGCATGGAAGATCTTTCCATTTTCTGATATCTTCTTCAATTTCTTTCTTTAGAGACTTAAAGTTCTTATCATACAGGTCCTTCACTTGTTTAGTTAGTGTTACCCCAAGGTATTTTTATATTATTTGTGGCTATTGTAAAGGGTGATGTTTCTCTGATTTCTTTCTCAACCCTTTTATCAGTTGTGTAGAGGAGCACTACTGATTTTTTTTTAGTTAATCTTGTATCCCGCCACTTTACTGAAGGAGTTTATCAGCTGTAGAAGTTCCCTGGTAGAATTTTTTGGGTCACTTATGTATACTGTCATATCGTCTGCAAATAGTGAAAGTTTGACTTCTTCCTTTCCAATTTCTATTCCTTTGATTTCCTTTTGTTGTCTTATTGCTCTAGCTAGAACTTCAAGTACTATATTGAATAAATATGGGGAGAGTGGACAGCCTTGTCTTGTTCCTGGTTTTAGTGGAATCACTTTGAGTTTCTCTCCATTTAATTTGATGGTGGCTGTTGGCTTGCTGTAAATTGCCTTTATTATGTTTAGTTATGTTCCTTGTATTCCTGATCTCTCTAAGACCTTTATCATGAAGGGGTGTTGGATTTTGTCAAAAGCTTTTTCAGCATCTAATGAGATGATCGTGTGGTTTTTTTTCTTTCAGTTTGTTTATATGGTGTATTACATTGACAGCTTTTAATATGTTGAACCATCCTTGCATCCCTGGGATGAAGCCTAGTTGATCATGGTGGATATTTTTTTTGATGTGTTCTTGGATTCAGTTTGCCAATATTTTGTTGAGTATTTTTGCATCAATGTTCATGAGGGAGATTGGTCTGTAATTCTCTTTCTTTGTTGCATCTTTGTGTGGTTTGATTATCAGGGTAACTGTAGCCTCACAAAAGGAGTTTGGTAATGTTCCTTCTATTTCTATTGTGTGGAACAATTTGAAGAGTATTGGAATTAGCTCTTCTTTAAAAACCTGGTAGAATTCTGCACTGAAACCACCTGGTCCTGGGCTTTTTTTGGTTGGGAGACTTTTAATGGCTGTTTCTATTTCCTTAGGGGTTATTGGTCTATTTAAATAGTTTATCTGGTCTTGATTTAACTTTGGTGTGTGGTACCTATCCAGAAAATTGTCCAGTGTGAGATTTCTCCATCTTCTTCATGTGGGCATTTAGTGCTATGAATTTTCCTCTTAGCACTGCTTTCATAGTGTCCCATAAGTTTGGGTATGTTGTACTTTCATTTTCATGGAATTCTAGAAAATCTTTAATTTCTTTATTTCTTCCTTGACCCATTGGTGCTTCAGGTGGGCATTATTCAGTTTACATGAGATTGTAGGCTTTCTATAGTTTTTGTTGTTGAAATCTAACTTTAAGGCATGGTGGTCCGATAAAATACAGGAGGTTATTGCAATGATTTTGTATCTGTTGAGATTTGCTTTGTGACCGAGTATGTGGTCAGTTTTCAAGAAGGTTCCATGGAGTGCTGAGAAGAAGGTATATTCTTTTGTATTTGTTCTGTAGATATCTATTAAGTCCATTTGAGTCATAACATCTGTTAGGTCCCTTATTTCTCTGTTAAGCTTCTGTCTGGCAGATCTATCCAGTGGTGAGAGTGGGGTGTTAAAATCTCCCACTACTAGTGTATGGGGTTTGATGTGCGATTTAAGCTTTAGTAATGTTTCTTTTACAAATGTGGGTGCCACCGGGCAGTGGTGGCACACGCCTTTAATCCCAGCACTCAGGAGACAGAGGCAGGCAGATCTCTGTGAGTTCGAGGCCAGCCTGGTCTACAAAGTGAGTTCCAGGAAAGGCGCAAAGCTACACAGAGAAACCCTGTCTCGAAAAAACAAAAAACAAAAAACAAAAAACCAAAAAACAGAAAAACCAAATGTGGGTGCCTGTATTTGGGGCATAAATGTTCAGAATTGAGACTTCATCTTGGTGGATTTTCCCTGTGATAAATATGTAATGTCCTTCTTGATCTCTTTTGATTGATTTTAGTTTGAAGTCTATTTTATTAGATATTAGGGTAGCTATACCAGCTTGCTTCTTTTTTTTTTTCCAGCTTGCTTCTTAAGTCCATTTGATTGGAAAGCCTTTTCCCAGCCTTTTACTCTGAGGTAGTGTCTTCTTTGAAGTTGAGGTGTGTTTCTTGTATGCAGCAGAAGGATGGATCCTGTTTTTGTATCCATTCTGTTGGCCCCTGTCTTTTTATAGGTGAGTTGAGACCATTGATATTGATGGCTATTAAAGACCAGTGATTGTTAATTACTGTTATTTTTTGTGGTAATGTTGTGTTTCCCTTCTTTGGTATTTGTTGGTGTGGGATTATCTATTACCTGAGTTTTCATGGGTGTGTTTAATTTCCTTAGATTGGACTTTTCCTTCTAGTACTTTCTGTAGGGCTGGATTTGTGGATCCGTATTGTTTAAATCTGGTTTTATCATGGAATATTT